AAAAGTTACAAATTTTCCCGTTTTTTCACTGTAGCTTTCTTTAGCAAATGGTGGAGATGAAAGCAGCAGTTTGGATGACAATTCAGAGGCAGCCATGACTATGGCAGTTCGATCAAAGGATGAATTACAGCTGACTGTTACAAAAACATGTCTGGACATCTTCACTAAACTCGGAGCGGTCAGTACAAAACTAGCAGGATGATGATAAAAATAACTTCCACAGAAATGATTAAGATGCTGATAATGACCAGAAAGAAAACTATCATGACTTTAAAAATAACAAAAATGACCTAAGTCTCCTTCGAAGCTGTCTCTGGGATGTTATGCAACCCCTCCTGAGAGACTGGCTTTTAATTTGGGGAAATCGTTGCGTGACATCCCAATGTATGGCAGAGTTGGAGACTACAACAACATTTATAACTGTAGTGAGTAGTGGTAAGAATGAGGCCTGAAAGAAAATCCACTATTTTTTCTGTGACAAATATTGACATACCTGTTCATGTCTGTAGGCTTTCAAAGAGGCTGTTACCCTGAAGGGTACAGGAGTGGTAGCCATTGAAGATGTTCCACCCTATCAGATATGGAATGAGGTTTGTTATCAACAGCTTCTTTTTTATGTAATTTGCTGGTGATTGTTAAGGTTTTTATTGGCGATATCGTCCTAAAATTAAATTTACAAGATTCCAAAGCCTTAGCTCGTCAAAGAAAACTATCCGCACTCATGGATAACAACTTCTCTCGGAGGCTTAGACTCAATTCTGGTATATAAAAGCAGTACGTGTGTCAGTAAACACGTTCTTTGATAAGATAAACAGTATTCGGTTTCAAGCTAGGCTCTAATTTAAAAATAACAAATATTCGCAGTGTTGACTTCTCAAGTTTTGCAAGGTTCAGTTCTAAAGGTTCGTGTTCCGTTTCTTCTCAGTGATATCATTAACAGTCATGTTTTGATTCTTGTTAGCTTGGAATGGAAGTGAAGCTTCGTCCGGGAAAACAGCTGGTATAGTATATGTTCATCCTACTTTTCTTCGCTCCAAAATTCCTGAATATTCTTTTTCCTCTTTCTTTGTGGCGGAATTTGATAGATGCTGCAAGTCAGGTTGAAAAATTGTGAATGTTAAACAAGTTCAGTTTGAAAAAGAAACCTTGTCTTAGTGGATACTAACGGGGTCCCGTTTGTGTTCGATAGTTGTACTTGTACTTGCCTATTAAGAGGAAATCAAAGAAATCCCGTCGTAGTTTTACTTAAAGTGTAAAAGGTCATAGCCATTGAAACCGTGTAATGTGAAAAGAGCCTTATCAAGGTTTGCATTAGAGCAATTTTCAATTCACTGTTTAAAGAAATCCAAGATTGCGTTACTTTGTTCTGTCCAGAAAACTGGCGTCACTCTGTAAAAATATCAGATACAAAACTAAAACCAACCATGAATTAGTCGCCCGCGTTTTCCCGCGCTTTAGGCAGTTTGGTTGCTTTTACTTGGAGTTCTCATTGGCTCTTGGAGATATTTTCCTTTCTTCTGATTGGACATCGTGATTACTTCGGTTTCGCTTCAGCTGTACTCAGGATACATTGTATTTGTGTTACGATAGATTGCAAGTGGAGCTGATCAAGATGGCATGGTTACTGTGCTTCCTGGACAAAGCCTTTCCCTACGCTTTGCCAAAGGAATTCACAAGAGAACCAGCCGATACGAAAGAGCAAATAGTACTTCCGGAGGAGGGGGGCCTAGTATTGGTGTTGAGGTGAGAACAGCCATTAGGCTCAAAATTCCAGATGCAGTGAATGTTTAATGTCACTAAAAGGAACTGGTATAGAGAATGGTTTGAAACCAGAAGTAACAGTTAATCGTGTAGTCTGATTGTCCGGGTGTGAGTAGTCCATAGAAAAACTGTTGTCGCCAGCAGTGACTTATGTTTCAATAACCTCGGCGGAAGTCATCATTACAGTCAAGTGTCATTTTGTTTCGTGTGAACTGTTTTGCTCAATTTTGCCGTGATGGTATTTGGTGTAACAATCAGTCAGCGTTAGTCATACGTGACTTAGATCCGTCGTTTGTTGTGTAAATGTTGTGATTAAATCTTTTTTATGGTACTGGTTGGTGTAGACATCTTTTTGCGGGGAGACTCTTCCTAGTAAAGAACCAGCTTTTCAGAAATAGTTACAAAGATTGCCGAGGATAAGATTTACTTCGTCTGTTTACAGTGCCAAAAAAATCTCAAAACTTGGAATCCTAAGAAACCCTAACGTGAATCTTGTTTTAAAATCATTAGGTGCAGGGCTATCATGAGATGAAGCCTGTCTCAATCAAACAAGCAAGAGTTATCTTGCAAAATGTCGTCCCAAAAAAGGTAAGAACAAATAAATGATGACAGGCAAAAATAAATCATAATTAAGTATAATAAGTAAAGGTATAACCAATAAAATGTAATTTTGTATGCTGATACCTTTTAAATTAGATTAAACAAAGAACAATTTCCGTTGTCTTACGTGTGGAGCAGGTAACTAAAAACAGTTCTGAAGCAGATTTGATACAAATGCACGTTCAATTTAAATGTTGGATCAAGTAAGTTGACATCCTGCTTCACCAAGCCACCCAAATATTGTTTTTCTCCAGCTTAACTGAATTTAACTGATCACCCGATATACCACTTAAATTAATTTAAATTTTTGAAACACAGCTCATATTTTTTTTCCTTTTCAAATCTTACTGTCCATAATTGTCAGTTAAAGTAGGCTAGAAACACCTCAGAGATGTATATAAAATATTAAAAGTGAGGTAAATACTTTTTTTTTTTCCTGTCAAGTATGACTGAGGTAACTTTCCACCAGATTTTTTCAGCCAACTTTACGGTGTTCAGTGTCTAGTTTTAACGCAGGCAATAGAAACAATTACTGGATGTACAGAAAATGTATTCTTACGTCGTTGTTTAACAAACAAAACCGTATCATGATGCAGTAATATTAACCTCGTTCCTTGCTTTAATTATGTCTAGAAGTGATGTTCTAAGCAATGAAATAAAAGAAATTTATTTTAAGATTAATGAATAATGTAATAATTGAGTTAAATTTAAATGTAGGGCACATTTCAACTGATTGTCATCAAAAACCAATTATGAAGAACTCAAAGAAAAGGAAAAAAAATTGAACCGTGGGAAAATACAAAGTGACAAAGTTGCGGTTGGGTTTTAGTTTTGCGTCTCGTAAGTTGAAAATGCAAGTTTTCGAAACCGAACAGAGACCAAAGTGAAGCAAAACCAAAGCAATTTCAGATGCCTCTCGACGCTCAGTTGAAAATTTTTCTTAAATTCTCTGCATGCTTAGTTAGTATTCTTACATTTCAGTTTATAGAAAGGATCGTTTTATTACCAGAAATGAGCACCATAAATGAAATGGTCCTGATAACAGATCTTGACCCAGATCAGGTGAAGGGCAAGTACCCTAAATTAACGGCTCTCTAATGGGAAATGTGATTTTATAAACGACTTCAGCTTTCTCGACTCTTCTGTGGGCTCAATTCTGGCTTTCAACGCTAATCACTCGTCTCTGTTTCATAAATACTGGTAAACCGATAACCCTATAAACCATATTTCTTATTTTTTATTGTCAGTATCTGTGCAGCTGTGCATATACCCCTCCCCTGGCCCAACATTAACCCTAACAGCCTTACTTGATATCTGTTGACTGTTGTTGGGTTATTGGAGGGGTAGGTGGGCAGTTGCTCAAATACTGACCTAGATCCTTTCCTATTTGAGTATAAGTTCAGTGTCTTTATGCTGTCTAAGTTTTTGTCAACATTTGCTAGTTTGCTAATGGAGTCTTCCTGTTACTTCTTTGTACTTAACTGAGTACTTCTTTTTGCTTACAAACTTTTTTTTTTCCTTTTTGGAGCTTTTATTGCTCTCTAAACCGTTAATCGCCAACTTCTAAATGACTACTGAGTTGAAATGAACGACAGAACAATCAAAAGTTAAAGTAACATGTGCTTTTCTTTACAGCTCCTCTCTGGATTGATTGTATCAGTTGTGATTCAAGTGGAAACTGGAGACGGCCAGAAGTTAGTTACTATCAGATCACCCTTACAGGTCAGTACACATAACTTATAAGATATATGTCAGTATCTTAGCAACTGCGCACGTGCCCCCCACCTAACCCGACAAAAACCTTAAGTTGTCATTCGTTGGCTGTCGTTGGGTTAGGGGAGGGGTAGGTGCGCAGTAGGTGCTCAGATACTGACATTGATCCGGTTCAGAGTGAATTTCAAAAAATAAATGCTTTTAACTTACCAGATACGGGTAACGTGGAAACGATTTATGTCGATGAATCGATTAAGAAAAAGGAACAAAGCAAAACAAAAACTAGCGACAAAGTTTGGTTTAATGTTGCCTTCATAACACAACGCTTTTTAACACAGGTGAACAACCACTTCCCGATCCCAATGGACTTATTTTGCAAGATGGAAGATCAGTTGTCCCGTGTTACAACAATTGAACCAGACAGTGTGTTCAGTGTTCCCCTGATACTGGCTCACAAGGCTGCACTTTACCTTAGACCTGCCGGATTCGGGTTTGTTTATTTTACTGTGATCTGTGCTTTGACAATGACAGTCTGCAATCAGTTCATTGGTAGATCAATAGAATTATTTTATTTTTGATTATGTCCCATTGACGTTCTGGAATATAAGGACATTTATTTTGTGGCGAGACTGCTACAAAACTGCAATGAGGAGCAATTTTGCCAGGTCTTACCTGCCGTCGATTCTCTAGTTGCCCTTTCAACTCCCAAGATCTCATCGTTAAATTTCCCCCTTAGCTGGTACATATTTGTTACAAGAATTTGGTATTACATCAATATAACAACCTCTACCCGATAAATTTTATTATTCTCATTACCTGTTTGCTGGATAACTTATGGATGTTATAGACAGATGTTATGTGTTAATCTCTTCTGGGAGTTGAAGGTTTAAAAGCGTGTCAAAAAAAAAGAAACCTGTCTTAGTAGTGATCAAGATCTGGTCTATAGGAACGAATCTATAATATCTTTCCATAGCTAAAAAGAGGCTTGGAAACGTTTGTGGAAAAAAGATCGACCTTTGGAAGAAGAAACTAGACATTGCCAGTGTCTGGAATAGTAACATGATACATGTAACTGTATAAACGCAACCAACACTGAAACAATTCAAACTCTATGTACACAATTTGTTTATTACCTTGTGATCTTGGTCTCAAGCTGCTTCAAATATGCATTAAGTACAATTATTGGCGCCTGTAAAATGTAATGAAAACACGTTCTAACTTGAGGACAAGAAGGACAAGGTTTAAATCCAAGCCTCTCTGTTTCTGATAAATTTTCTTTTGCTTTACTTTTTTGTGATGTTTTGTTTTGTTTGTTGTTATTTATCTTAAGGTATGGAGCGAGTACGACACCGCTGTTGTGGAACAAGTTAGCATCTGAGGGGTCTTCTTCAGTCCAGTGTCCACCCCCGGGCGGCGACGGACCACCTTTTCATATCGCGGTAAGCTACGTCAGAGGAACTTCTGTGTTGGAAGTAATCTGTGAAAAAAAATTATTGAATTTTCGAAAATTCCAAATGTAAATTTCTAGGCTTACGCAACTTATGTGTAAATAAAACTATTTAAGATTACATAATAAATACCTCTTACTAACTCAGGTCGAGGTCTTTACCGCAAGTTACGGTTTTTTTCGCTCGGATTTATGGCCTAAGCGAAGCACGTAGTATGTGGGGCTTGCCGTAATTGGGAACTATGGTAAAAGAAGTTTATCATAGTTAAACTATTTAACAGTTCAGTTAAATATTGAATGGTTTTTATTTCCATTCGTTATGAAGGAGAAGGATCTGTTTGTAGACAAGCAAGAGTTTTGACTTGCTACTGATTTAACATCAAATTGTACTCTGTTGCAAGAAGGTTGTATGAAGTTGAATGTGGACAATTCTTTTACAGGTTGATTGTGAACAAGTG